ATTTCGATTTTTATGAATTGTTCCGTGATCTGTTTTGATAATTGTCATTTGATCTGTGATAGTTTGATCTATTATACGAGTTATATCTTGATCGATTGTTCGGGTAATTCTGATTTCGATTGTTCGAATAACTTCTATTTCTATTATGTGAATAGTTTCTATTCCTGTTGTATGATGAGTTTCGTGATTGATTATTCGAATAGTGTTTATTTCTTGGGTTTGATTGGGAACTGGATCTAGAAACAAATTGTGTTGCATTGGAATTTGATCTTGAATAGTTATTTCGACTATTTGATCGATTATAATTATTTTGTGAGGAATTTTGTGTATTTCTTCGTTCTGGTGATCTTCCTCTATAACTTGAGTTTTATGGTGATTGATTCCTTGTGTAATTGGTGTTGTTCGGAAGTGGTTTTCCTGAACTATTATTACTATATATATGTTTGTTTGGTAGATTTTGATCTTTTTTCATATATTGATAGAACGATTTATTTGGTTCTTTATGCTTTTGAGGTTTATTCTGATTATCTTGTTGTTTTTGTCTACATTCGGAAAGACTGTGTCCGTATCGTCGGCAAAAATTACACCATTTTTTGATGGATGGTTTGCCTTTAAAATTTGGATGTTTTTCATAGATATTTAGTATTTCAGTGATTCTTTGAATTAGGTCTGTATCTGATTCCTGTATGTTATTTATTTGTGTAGTGTTTGTTTCAATTCGATTAACATATTGTAGTTTAAGATTTTCAGTTTCTTCAAGTTTCATTGTGATTTCCGCTTGCTCTAGTTTGTCTACTAGTTTTCGAAAATCTAAATCTGGCTCTCGAATTGAGGAAGGATGAGATGCTCCCTTTTTTGTTGCTATTTTCCTTAATTGAGGTGTTAAGGTCATCGTTAAAATTTCTGTCATTTTTGTGTTTTTTGATAGTCATGTGTATTAAGTGAATATGCGTTTCGAACTAGTGTTTCGATGCGTACTGCTAATTGTTTGATGGTTTCATTTGGTAATCTGCGAATTTCATTACATAAAACTCTTTGGTGTTGTTTATTTCTTTCGGAGTCAAACATTTTTGAAAAGTCTTGTGTAAATCTTTTCCAGTCTGATTTTATTTCTATTGGTAATACAGAAAACCATTTTTGAGCTGCATCATCTAAGGTTGTTTGTATCAATGCTCTGCGTCTATGTATCCAATTTTGATGTAGTGGCGTATTAATTGGTTCAGGTCCTATATTTAAAATTAAATTTGCTGTTACTGCATTTAAATAATCTTCTACAGAATATTCAGGATCTGTTCCTGTAAATACCATCAGTGGTTTATTGGATGTTATTGATGATCCACCCATGAGGTATGGATTCATTGTCATCTGTAGTGATTCTGCGGCATTTGGCATTTGCGAAAAATTTGAAAGTTGATTTTTTGTTATCACGTGTTGCTGAAGGTAATATGAAAGCGGTAGTTCATTTTGCATTTGAGTTGGTTGATAAGAACGCATTGACATTGGATTTTGTGGTTGTATTGGTTGAGAAGATTGTATGTTAAAGGGATTTTGTATATGCATTTGTTGTGGATGTTGTACATCTGTTGGGTTTTGTGGGTAAATTTTCATATTTCGAGATGGTTGAGATTGTCGTGGTCTTTGTGTGCGATATTCTTTAGTATATGGTGCAAAAATATCTGGTTGGTGATAATCATCTTCATCGGATGATAAATAGTTTGTATTAAATGGTGTGTATTGGTTATTTTTATTTTGTTGGAAGAATGGGTAATTTTCAGTATAATCCTGTGTAGGTTGTGGATTATCTGGAAAATTTACTGAATTCGTCGATGTTTTCGGGAGATTCCAATAATGAGAACATACGTGTCGAATTTAAACTGTTATTTCGTGTATCAGGTAAAAATGTATTGTAGTTTAATGGTGTTGCATCAATCGTTAGTGGTATTACTTTTACATAATCTCTGTGATAAGATATTGTACTTATTGCTTGACTTGAGATAGATTGTGGGCTTTTTATAAATGTAGGATGAGACCATTCAGGGTCCCAAACGTAGTCTGATTGTTCTGTAATGGCAGTGTCATCATTTGAATTTTGAAGTCTGAAATTTTTTCTTGCTTGTGAAATTAAGTCTAAATTATGTGTGAAATAATCTATTATAAACCATGCCAAAATTTTTTGTAAGTCATGTTTAGTGTGTTGTGAAATATCATCTTTAGTGAAATTTTCTTTGATTATATGTAGAAAAGTTGAAAATAATGCAATTTCATTTCGTACTTTTGTATGTTTGGATGTTTCAGTTGGTGAGATACTTTGAAATTGTGTTTTTTTCTAATCTAGAAATATAGGTATATATTTTTACAAAAACTTCATTAGTGAATATAGAGTTTGCTCTTTGTGAATTGTGATATTGTATGCTTTTGATATATTCTAGGAATACTTTTTAAAATTCTAATTCAAGATCGTCTGTTTGAATTACATATTTACGATGATTCGTATTTGGTGTGCTGAATTCTATGGTGTAGATTCCATATTGTTGTGTTAAGTTACATATGTCTTTTAAATAATGTTCAATAATTTGTCTTTTGATTTTTATATCTGGGAATTCTGCTTTGCATGGACTGATTCCGGGTTCAAACAAATTTACGAGTAAATTCTTGCAAAAATCATGCTGCCCTCTATTATCGGGTGCATCTATGAGGAAGGGGTAAAGCTCTTCGTCATCTGGACTATCGTCACTTTGAGTGTGGCTCATTTTTTCGTTTGATGACTGTTAATATATAGCTATCAATGTGTCTAATTGGTTGATTCCAGTTATACAGGTGTACTGGTTTGTGTTTGTATTGCTTTTTTATTCTTCTTTTTCTTCTTTTTGATAAATTTGAAGTTGTTTCTGAATCGGAAAAATATAATTGATCGTGAATGGGACAATTTTTATCAATTGATTCTTTTAATTTGTAGAGTTCATCTAAACTGCTGGTTTCTCATTCGGAAAATGCGTTTCTATTTTTTGAAAATCTTTTTCGTGTGATTTGTCTTTGTTTGTTTATAATTTTTCTTTTTATTGTTTGTCGTTTTCTTCTAATGTATCCAACTGTTTGTGTATGAGGTGTGATTACAAGATCGTATTTTTGTTATCTATCTCACAGTTGTGTAAAACGATTGTTTGCTTATTTCCTAGATTTTTGAATGACATAAGGTTTAGGATGAGGGATGCAAAAAGTTGTTAGGTATTTTTATTTTCTTAGACTGTTGGTCCTTACGATTTTTTGGTTAGCTTAACCTGGGTCTTTTATTTAGGGTTGGAGAGAAAAGTATATGGATTCCGAAGAATGATTTTTTACTTTCTCGTGGCTAATCTAAGCTAAGGTGTTAACTTACTTAATCTTACTTAGGGGTAGTGATTGTGTTCAAGGGTTGGAGAATAGTAAATCGATCCACAAGGTTCAGGTATAATTAGAACGCAAGTAGTTCGTTAGATACTATTTTAAACTTACTAAGTCTAAGATCTATCCTGGGTCTGGTAAGAGGAGGGTTCAAGTGAAGGATGAATAACCGGAGTTCTTCACTGTTTATCTTAATTTGAATGGTTAGTCTTATTAAAAAATTTCTATTAATCCTGGGTCTTTTGGAAGGGTTGGATAGTGAATCGACGTTTGAGGTCGTTAGACACTTGCTAAGTGGGTGGGGGAGAACAAAATTGTTCTTTTTTGATCCAAGGATAGGCCTTGATGATCAGGTTTTAAATTTAGTGAAATAGAAAATTAATTAAGATCCAAGGATAAGCCTTGATGATCTGGTTTTAAAATTAAGTGAATTTAAATTTAAAATGGTTTAAATTTATTTAATAAAAAGATTTAGTATTTTAATGATATTAGTGAGCTTATGATTGCTGTTATGTTTAGGTGATGAAGCTGGGACAACAGATGATTTATGATTACTAACAATTTATTGTCATGCTACTAATTTTTGTTTTCATTTTCAATAAATATTTTTCAAATATGTTTTATATAAGACTGCAGAAATTTAGAAAACGATCTGAGATCTTTTTATCAATCGTTATTGTACATTAATAATTTTGTTTAGCGCCTGAAATGATCATGAAGATTGACATCAAAATTTTATGTTTGCAGATGAAAATCTAAATTCATTGCTAATAAGACTCTAAATATAAAAGTTTGTGTTGGCTTTTGCCGTACAATCATAAAACTATATGGTAAGTTTCTACTTTGTCGTATGTCGTCTCTTGTTCGAGGTTTTCTTCCAATTCCGGGTAGTTCTATTATTTTTCGGAATATTGGCTCTGATCTATTGAGTCGTAGAGACATTTCGATTAAATTATTATCGTATAACATTTTGAAAATGTTTTGTCTAATTTCTAATCTATTTTTGGTTAGTTCTAAGCTATTAAGGTCTTATTCGAGACTTATGGTCGCACCAGATGAGTTAGAACCGATGTGGTTAACTCATAGAGTAATTTCGGATAGGGTACACCGTCTGCTCGTCACGCTATCTTATTTTCGGCCGGATAGATTCGTGCAACTTCTTAGTCTAATACCGATCCTAATCTTACTCTTATACTTTCTAGTCTCAGGGTGTTTAACTAGTCTCTGCTAGGCTCAATAGATCTAGGGTATACTGGTTTGTTGCGGCTGCTGATGTTCTCGTGGAGAGACAACTAATTTCTAAGTTAAATTCAAATCTCTCTGGTGCTGAAATTACAAGTAATTTCAGCACTTACAAATAAGTGGGTTGTTAGTAAGATGGATTATGATTGGTTAATATTAAATACTTTACAGTGGTAAAAAATCCAATTTATCCAATCATAAAATATAGTTTAGATCAGGTTCCAAAAGTGTTAAATATGTTGCACATTTTTTTCTTTTTCTTGCTTTCTTTAAAAATTAGCAGATTACTCTTTTTATTTACTTCTATCCACCCGAAATTTTTGCAAGTCTCATTTTTCACAAGTTAGCAAATCGCAAAAGGTTAAATGAGCTCGAACCTGGTGGGGTTGGCGTCTGCTGCGTTTGGAGTGGCGTCTATTTGCATCACAAACATGTCCTCAGGCACAACTGTGCAAGTCGGCAGTTCGGGTCTCGTGTACACGTCAATCACGGCAAACTGGCTACACAGTTCAAGAAGAACAATACCTGAAATTCAATCATCATATTGTTATCATTAAGGAAAACTTGGTAGTTTCATCCTGAAAAGTCTCACACTGTAAATTGTAAGTATGAAAAGTCGATATCATCGTTTAAAAAAATTGCAAATTAACGCAATTTAAAAAGTATACATGTTATTGTATCGCATGTTTTATTGCCCCAGAAATGTTTTCCCCATCTTTTGAAATCAATCTAGTCCAAGTATGGTGAAGATTAACTTTGGCTAAGTGAACAAATGGATCTAAGTGAATAAATGTAGCATTTTTTCCTCCATTCCCTCGTCCTATCCTTTAAGTCCGGCAGCGTCGACCACCCCCCTCGCCCCGCAACCCCTTGTCCCATCCCTTATGATAAATATTAAATAAAATCCAGCCCTCAACTCGACAAACTCATCAGTTAAACCTATGCGAATGCTCTCCCTATTAACGATATCTGACCCCATCTGCAGTTAGGGTGGGGGTAGTTAAATAGATCAGAAGTAACTGCTGACCTGGATCAGTTGTTTCGTCCAGACGAAGTGCTTCGAAGTCAGTCGCATTGCAGTCGATACACCCGGTCACACTCACTTTGTACTGGGCGGCAGGAGACAAAGTTCCACCGGCAGTTCCCCCGTCGACCAAATCTGTCAAATCGTCGGTTTCGTCTCTGGCTGTTACTCCGTTCACGGCATTCCCGTACGCCGATATCCGCGCGGTTGTTCCGGCAGCGTCCACCGCGGTGACGAGAGAAGTTTCGAGACGATCGAGCATGGCATAGTATCCTAAGATATATACAGACCAATAAGGTACAACTATGATCAAATGATTGAAAATTGAGACGCGCCGGAAACAAAAACAGAAAAAGTTTTTGAACAGACATGTTTTAAATGTTTAGGTTTTACGCCCCGAGGATGAAAAAGTGCCCAATTGGAATATGCTTACCGACAGTAAGAAAACAGCCAAGGAATTCAAAGAAACCGAAAAAATGGCCATTTTTGAAAGTTTGTCAAATTTCAAACTTGGAAAAGTTGAGGCTCTTTCACGTCAAAAATCTTTGAATTTCAAGAACCTTTTATGATTGACATCTTTTTTCATACTAACCCTACGAAAGAAAATTGGTGCACTAGGTAACTTCTTAAGTCCGCTTGAAATTCTGAAAAAACGTCTATGTTCGAAACTTGTACATTTGTACTTTCGTAATTGGAGTCGTCTTACTACGTCTTCTTTTTAGCAAATAAATTTGAAGCGAATACATGACTGCTCGTACCAGGGCGAAGCCCTGAATGTTCCGACTGCCTTTTGAGGTTTCATGGAGCAGTAATAACATCAAAAAATTAAATGTATCAAAACAAATGAAAATTTTTTTTTTCTAAAATTTGAAATTTTTTATGAAAATCATCCCCCACACGCCATATTAAATACAAAAGGATAAATTTCGCTCCATGTAACAAATCAATTATGGCAAATAAGCTTCTTTCAACCAATTTGGAACGATTTTAATACGGACTAACGCGTTAATAGCGCGAAATATATCGCGCGTTAATTGTCCCAAATTGGCCAAAATGGCAATCTTTAAACCCCCATAACTTTACGAAAAATGATCAAAGGCAAATTTTTTTTTCAAATATAAGCTCAGGACAACAATAGATTTCGAATGATATAAAAAAATTCCGTCAAAAATGGCTAGTTAAAAAGTCGAAATTTGTCTGAAGAAAAAAAAACCCACCCGAGCACAAATATTCCGTTACTTTCGTATCGAAAGTCGGAACAAAAATAGTTTGCTGTAAAAACAAACAAGTGCTGTAGTTAAAAAAAAGTACGAGAGATTGATTTATTAAATTTTTCATTGCAGCTAAAATCACCAATGAAATATCTTTTTTTATGATACATCATTCGACACCATCTGACGTTTGATGGGGGAGGGGGTTTCCATTTGACGTTTGATGGGGGGGGGGGGGGGTTTGGCCTTATGACCTACCAGTGGGATGTTCATCTGGGCTGCTCCACTTGACAGACACTTCGGTTGTGGTGCAGTTGTCCTCAAACAAGTCCAGAGGGGGTTCCGGGTGGGTACACATGTATACCACTTGACTGGCAGGACTCAACTCCCCATTATGTCCAATCAGGAACCCTGCGACCAAGTTAACCGATGACTCATTGGTACTCTCATTTTAACACTTCGCTTCAAGCGTTTGTAGACTTCATACTTAGATTTTAAAATTTAAAAATATACTGAGATGGGGCTGGTTTGCTATCTCATAGTAGTTTCAGACGTGATTGCGGTCGCATGATTAAAAACTGAAAAAAAAGGTGCAAAAAATAGTCCTAGTTTTCATTATTGAACTATGTCATTCATCGTCAGTTGCCAGTCACTCAAGTGTCGAACATGCCGCACTTTTGTCAATGCCGCTTTTTTCTCACTTTTGAGATGGGTGGTAAATCAGTACATCGATGTATCGGTAAACCGAAAACAGGCGGACCAGATCAGTAAATCAAAAATTCATGATGGAATTACGTAAAACCATTAACTAAAAACTGACATTTTTATAAAATGACAAATTTTTTCCTCAAAACAAAAAAAGAACAGAAAATGGAATATAATAACTCTTCCCATGCGCTCGCTCCGTACTTTTGGAATTATTGTTCTAGCTCGTGGAACATTTATTCTATAATAATTTAATTCCGCAATTGATGCAACTATTAGGTAAATCAGTTTACTGATCTGGTAATTTACTGACACATCGGTTTACTGTACGCACCCCATTGAAATGAGACTGGTTTGCTATCTGAATGAGTAATTTCAGATAGAATTACACTGTCTGTTCCTTACGCCAGTAATCTTTTTTCGGTAGCCTAGTGTCGTGTAATTACTTAGTCCAATACTCATCTTATTAATAATTTTTGTTCCTAGGTCTCAGTAGATCTCATAAAAAAACTGGTGAATCGATTGGTGTTTCAAATCGACTTGATTCTATTCTTTCTTAAGTTTACAGTCAAGTTTTACAATTAAAATTTTCTAATTATGAAAATTGATTGGTAAGTAATAAATACTTTACAATCATACTTTAACATATAGGGTGACCATTAATAAAAACATAGCCAATTGACAGTTGGAAATGAGTAATGAACGCAAGGAAACTAAAACAAAAACTGGCTTGTTTTTTCAAAAATCGTCAACTTGTGAAATTCGGAGAAAAAAATCGATGGCCTTAAAGCTCTTTGAATTTGTAGAACAATTTATGATGGACACTTTTTTTGTTAAAATTAATCCAATTTGAGAAAACTGGAACATCAGGTAGAATTCACTGGGAAATCTGGTAACTAATTTCCATTTTCGAAATTAGAAGTCCATCACGTTTTTCGTGACCTTTACATTTTTGCTGTTCGATAGCGGAGTTAGCCTTCCTTTTTAACACTGGAAATGCACTGAACTTAAAAAAAAATCTTAAGTCAAACCGCGAAAAATCAAAATTGACCGTGAACAAGTTTTGAGACTTTTTCCTGAGAAAAACAAAAACAAAAAAAAATCAGCAAGACCTATATAAGAGTACTTCTCTCTACTCACTACGTTCATCGCGCCATTTTTCGCGCCATTTCCACGTTTGTATTTGGAGAGTGCCATTCACGTCACTTTTAGCAGATGAATTTCAATAGAACTCAAAAAGTGCATATATACCTAAGTGCATTAATAAAAGCATCAATATGTATGAATGCACATCTGTAGTTATTAGAGACTTTTCGGACTTTTCCTGAAAAAAAGCAAAGAAAAAAATCCGCAAGACTTATATAAAAGTCTTCACTACGTTCATTACTCTTAAATAGTCAAAATTCTAGCCTCATCACAAGCAAAACTAACCAATCTTTATCCATAACTTAAAACCACTAAAAAGTTGTATAATGATCAGTTTAAATGATCAGAACGACCACCTTTTAATAAGATTGCAAACAAGCTGACTTCTTTAATAAAGAAACCGTCATGGGTGTATCGATTGTTTCTAACCAAAATTTGAAAGTACTTCAATTTTACACAAAAAAAGACTGGCGTTTTGCAAGACTGCTATTCTTTCTGTATAACAGAATGGAATGAATCGCACACTCAATTTCGCCAAATTCAACCCGTTGATATGTATTGATTGTATTCATTGCCCACTTTACGCCACATCACATTACATGTTTAACATTGATCATACGAATCCAATTCCGAATGAAGAAGATATATATGTGTCGTACGGATTGAATTGAGTTGAGAGTGCTAACCAGTGTAGCTGTAGGCGGTGGCTGGTACGAGGGGTGTGTCGATGAAGGGCGAGGAGATTGGGGATCCGATGTTGTTGCCGTCCCTTTCCAGACTCAAGTCAAATTCACTCACCCCACCCGACAAAAAGAAGGAAACCGTCATGCTAAAAAAGAAAGGAAGAAATACTTACACTACACTTCAAGCCTTTTAAATTAAAATTCTAGCTCATCTGCCGTTACCCACCATAGATTTTTGAAAAATATCCCCGCAAATAGCCCAATAAATATGAAATTTGCACATAGATCGATTCACGCACACTTGGTCATCAAAATTTAACCCAGTAGCGAATTAAGGGGGGGCGGGGGGGTTGAACGCTTTCTTTAGGGATTCGACGCCCTGCCGACCCAAACGGTATCACTTTTGTACTAATTTGAGATATCCATTTTGGCTGACTGGCCTTAAAATTTTTCTAAATGCGCCTTCGTCGCAAATCTATACTACTTTGAGGGGGGAGCCCTAAACAATTTGGTCGACCTAAAAAAAAGGTCGACAAAATTTTCAAAAATTTTTTGAAAATCCGCCCCCCCTCGAGAAATCCACGCCTGCTTTTACCTTTAAATCCTCGTGTTACTCCAAATAATTGACGCTAGGCAACGAAAAAAGAGACAAAACACTTCAACTCAAATATTTTTTTTGTCCGACTTCTATTGGGAAAGCGATTAAAACGACTAATTTTGTGTTTAATACCATGTCTAAAAAGCCTTTTGAAATCGGTATTAAGACTTCCCAAATTCAGCTTTGAAGTTGTATTATCTTGCCAGTGTCATGGCTTTAATGACTACCTAACAAACATGGAAGCCTTACCTAGGGCTTACCAAGATAACCATAGTACATGGAAAGATCTTGGCAAGATATTCAACTAGCTTACACTAATTCTAGCAAAAATATTTCTCTCAAAACTCATTCTCGCACTTTTCAAAATCTAAGATCTTGCTAAGATATGCAAAGTGTATTCGTCTTGAAAAAATTGATTCAATAATGCTAAGGCAGTCAAGGCATCTACGATGCTCCAAAATTGTTCATTTATTTACGCATGATCATTTACAGGTAACATAGTCTTACAGGTAACATAATCTTTCAAGGCCAAAAATGATTTTTGGACTCTAGCCTTCAGCAGCTTTTAACTATTGCCGGAGCATAACTGACCTTATTTCAATGATTTATTCGGCGTGCCATACATAAAAAAAAAATTTGTTAAATTTTATTGATACTCTCAAAATTACCAGAAAGCAAAAAATAACTAAATGTTATTAATCTAATTTCAATGAGCTGGTTTCGAAGCCCAGTCGGTGGAGTGTTAGAAAAACTCAATCAACTCAAGAAACCCGTAAACATTTTCTGATGAGTTGGAGTTTTTCCAAAGAAACAGTAGATCTTATAGGTCTTTACAATTCCTCGATTTTTTATGATTGGTCTTTATTGTCCTTGAAACGAATGTTATTTGATAAAACTAGATAAATTTTGAATCATTCCATTGGGAAACTTTGCAGCAAAAATCTAATTTGAAATCTAAAAGTCATCGCGTTTTTCAGCTCCATTTACAATTTTTATCGAAGAACCTAGATTTGTTTCCATTTAGCAATTGATTTCGAAGTGAAATTGAAAAGAATTCAAATCAAACTGAGAAAATTGACTTTGATCCTGAGCAAATATTTTTATGGAACATGAGAACCCCCAAATATCACATCACCTAAATAAGTGTCTTGCTTCTTTCATTGATACTAAATAAACATAGCCAACAGACAGTTGGAAAAAAATCAAAGAAACGCAAGGAAACAAAAAAAAGTATACTGACTCAAAGTAAAAAAATATGTCCTTAAGGTAGTGTAAAATTCAAAAACAAAGCCAACTGACAATTGGAAAAGAGCCTTTTACGCAAAAAAAAACTTCGAACTTTAAAAAAATACGGACTTGTTTTTTCTAAAACCTTTAAGTTTTGAATTTTGAATAAAAAAATAGATGGAATTTAGCTCTTTGAATGTCACGAACAATTTATGAATGCTGCTTTATTTGATAAAAATCAAAGTCATTTGAGAAAACTGGATCGAAAGTAAACTTTTTATTTCGCTGGAAAATCGGAGAATGAATTTCATTTTCGAAATTAGAAGTCAATCAGGTTTTTCGTGACCTTTACGTTTTTCCTGTTCGATAGTTGAGTTTGTCTTCCTTTCAACAACAAAAAAAATAAAAATGAACTTAAAAAGAAAACATGTCAAATTGCGAAAAACCAAAATTGAACCTGAACAATTTTAAGGACTTTTCCTGAAAAAAAAATCACTAAGACCTATATAAGAGTACTCCCTACGTTCATTACTATTAAAGAATGGACTTCTTGTTTTGAAAAATTCAAACTTTTGAATTCTAAAGAAAAAATTTACGGCCTTAAGCTCTTTATAAATACAAAAGTTTCTGCTCAGTCCTTTTTTTGAGAAAATTGACCCAATTTGAAAAAAACTGGACCCGGGTAATTTTTATTGCACTGGGATAATTGAAAATTAAAATCCACTTTCGAAACTAGGAGTCATTTACGTTGTTGGCAAACCTAACGCTTTTGCTGTTCGATACTTGATTTTGTTTTCCTCAAGGAAATGCAGTGAATTTGAAAATAATTCAAAGTCAAATCGAGAAATGAACAAAATGAAAATCAAGAAAGTGGCAGCAAATACAAAGACTCAATTTTCCTAAAAATAATTTGCAATATAACAAGCTGAAGACATCCACACTAACTTCGCATGTAACAAATCGCAAATCGCTAAGCCACATCATGTATAAATTGTGCATTTCAAAAAATTGTAAGATATATTGAGTTAAAAATTTTCTGTAATCGAGTTTTCATGATTGTTATGTTGTTTGAAACAAATAACTTTTTGTGGTTTATTTGATGAATTAAAATGCATCAACTGTGTTAACTTATTACTATTAGAATGTCAAATCACCTGCTATCAAAAAGCTAATAAACTGGCATCGCAAGTGTAAACATGGCAGTGTATTGAAACCTTTTCCATCGTTTATCGGATCAAAAAGATATTTTCAAAAAGTTCCCTCACAGTGGAAAAAAAGGTTGCCATGGAGAAGACATAATGTTTATTTGATTGTAATTTAGAGAATGAGTATGAGGGAAGGATTGTGCCTGAAGTTTACCTGGGAGGTAGGTCTGGAGTGGTAGACAGGGCGACTCCGGGCAATGGGGCACTGGTCCAGTCCGAAATGGTCACTGAAGTGGACGCGAACAACTCCTCAGTTCCAGTCACAGAACAGCGCACGAAGTTTCTGAACAGATCGAAGGGAAATAAACCCAAATCATAGACACAAACACCGTAAACACAGAAGCGAAGCTAAACTTCGGAAACACAAAGACTAAGAAATGGCAAGAAGTAGTTTAAAAATTTTTTAGTAAGAACAAAAGAAACAAGGAAATGTATATAATTAATATACATTAAATTTTCGACTTGTGCCGGAGTCAAACACCAGACTTGGAGATTAAAAGAATCAACAAAAATGCGCCCAAATGACAAATGAGCACTTTTATTTGCGAGAGGGGTAGAAAAAAGCGGACTTCGTAGAATAATTAAGAAAAGGGATCAAGTAGAAAAATTTTCAAAGGTCCTTCAAGAATATTCTGAAAGTTAGTTATATTTTTGTATTCATTTGAAATTGGATAGCTGAAAATCTTCGCCTTTTAGGATTCTCCACCTCATTACTTAACTTTCATTAAACTTTCTGAGTGCGGCGTGTAAAATACTCTGTTTTGATTGGGTGATAGTTCTAACTATAAATCATGTTAATCCCCCCCCCCCGCCTAAAATGTTACAAGTATTTAGGGGGGGGGGTGTGTTGACTTAAATTGGGTGTAAACTGGATCTTTCAGCCAATAGAGTAAATAGAGTATATTACACGCAACGTTAACCAATTTTAATCCTAACCAAAAATTGGGGAGGAAGATTTTTGGGGAGGAAGAGGGGGTTTTCTAGCTAGGTCGGAGTGGGGGGGGGTGCTTACTTGATTCTTTAATCCTACTAACGTAGCTTTAATCGTGTAGGGAGTATTGGGTGTGAGGACGACTCCACTGGCAGTAGTTCCAAATGCCAATTCATTGGCAAAGGGAGTGGAGTTAGCCGACAGCTCATTTAGCATCACATTGGTGAACGAGGCGTTTCCTTGTGGGTTCACCCACATGATGTCCAGAATGGTATCTGTGTAGTTGGACACGAACAAGTTTGACACTGGATTCGGTTTAGCACAGTTGCACACCTGCAAATCAAAGAGAGGCACATTTAAGCATTGCTTCCATTACTGCTGCCTACTATCAAAGTAACAAAAATAATGCAAACACGCAAAAATACCTTCGCTAACTGTTACGAAACGACAAAAAAAAACATTAGAACAAAAAACAAAAAAAATGTAACTGGAACAAAAAATGTGATCTGATAACTTCTTTGCTTCCTTAAAACTTGATCCATACAGATCTCAGCTGGGCAGTTAATCCATTTTAAAATGTTTCACAGGTTTTCAAATAAAACAGTAAAAAAGAAACAGTCAAAACAGAAACACAAACCGCAAAAAAATTACATACTCTGCACAGTTTCGAATTAAGACAAAATTCTTTGGAAAAACATTTAACGCACAAAGGGACTTCCCCTCAAAACTGGTTGCCAAAATTGTCCGAAGAATTCCCCGTTTGGCACTCAGTTCCGAAAGCCATTTCTGCAAACATGATAATTTTCTAAAGGCGCCTCTGGCACTAATATACTTAAAATTTTACTTTGAAATGCAATGCAAAGTGGAACCTGATCTAAACTATATTTTATGATTGGATAAATTAAATGTTTTACCAATGTAAAGTATTTAATATTAACCAATCATGATCCATCTAACTAACAACCCACTTATTTGTAAGTGCTGAAGTTACTTGTAATTTCAGCACCAGAGAGATTTGAATTTAACTTAGAAATTAGTTGGACTCTCCCGAGCACTTCAGCAGCCGCAATAAACCAGTATACCCTAGATCTATTGAGCCTAGCAGAGACTAGTTAAACAACCTGAGACTAGATAGTATAAGAGTAAGATTAGGATCGGTATTAGACTAAGAAGTTGCACGAATCTATCCGGCCGAAAATAAGATAGCGTGACGAGCAGACGGTGTACCCTATCCGAAATTACTCTATGAGTTACACTTCGGTCCTAACTCATCTGGTGCGACCATAAGTCTCGAACAAGACCTTACTAGATTAGAATTAACCAAAAATAGATTAGAAATTAGACAAAAACATTTACAAAATGTTATACGACAATAATTTAATTGAAATGTCTCTCCGACTCAATAGATCAGAGCCAATATTCCGAACCATAATAGAACTACCCGGAATTGGAAGAAGACCTCGAACCAAAGACGACATACGACAAAGTAGAAACTCGCCGTATAGTTATATGATAGTTCGGCAAAAGCCAGAACAAACTTTTATATTTCGAATACTACTTGCAATGAATTTAGATTTCCATTTGCAAACATAAAACCTTGAAGTTACTCTTCAAAATCATTTCAGGCGCTAAACAAAATTAATATTATACAATAACGATTGATAAAAAGATCTAAGATCGTTTTTCTAAAACTCTGCAGTATTATACAAAACATGTTTGAAAAATATTTATTGGAAAATAAAAATAAAAATTAGTAGCATGACAATAAATGGTTAGTAATCATAAATCATCCTGTTGTTCCAGCTTCATCATCTAAAACATAACAGCAATCATCAACTCACTAATATCATCAAAATACTAAATCTTTCCTTTACACAAATTTAAAACTTTATTAAAACTTAAAGTCACTTAATTTTAAAACCAGATCATCAAGGCTTATCCTTGGATCTTAAATCATTTTCTACTTAATTAAATTTTAAATTTGATCATCAAGGCTTATCCTTGGATCAAACAGAACAACTTTGTTCTCCCCCACCCACTTAATTAGTGTCTAACGACCTCAAACGTCGATTCACTACCCAACCCTTTCTAAAGACCCAAGACTAATAGAAATTTTTAAACAAAACTAATCATTCAAATTAGGATAAACAGTGAAGAACTTCGGTTATTCATCCTTCACTTGATCCCCCCTCTTACCAGACCCAGGATAAATCTTAGACTTAGTAAGTTTAAAATAGTATCTAACGAACTACTCGCGTTCTAATTATACCTGAACCTTGTGGATCGATTTACTATTCTCCAACCCTTGAACACAATCACTACCCCTAAGTAAGATTAAGTAAGTTAACACCTTAGCTTATACTAGTCACGAGAAAGTAAAAATCATTCTTCGGAATCGATATACTTTTCTCTCCAACCCTGAACAAATAGACCCAGGTTAAGCTAACCAAAAAATCGTAAGAACTAACAGTTTAAGAAAATAGAAATCATTTAACAACTTTTTGCATCCGTCATTCTAAACCTTATGTCATTTAAAAACCTAGGAAATAAACAAACAATCATTTTACACAATTGTGAAATAGATAACAAAAAATACGACCTTGTAATCACACCTCATACACAAACAGTTGGATACATTCGAACAAAACGACAAACACTGAAGAGAAAAATAATAACTAAACAAAGACAAATAACACGAAAAAGATTTTCAAAAAATCGAAACGCATTTTCAGAATCAGAAACCAACAGTTTAGACGAACTTTACAAACTAAAAGAATCAATAGATAAAAATTGCCCACTTCACGATCAATTATATTTTTCTGACTCAGAAACAACTTCAAATTCATCACAAAGAGGAAAAAGAAGAATAAAAAAACAGTACAAACACAAACCAGTACATCTATACAATTGGAATCAACCAATTCGACACATTAATAATTACATATTAACAGTCATCGAACGAAAAAATGAGTTCAACACACACCCCAGGTGACGAAACTCCAGATGATGATGAAATCTTTCCTTTTATAGTAGACGCAGATACTGATAGAGGACAACACATATTTTGTCAAAATTTACTCGTAAATTTATTTGAACCCGGAATCAGTCCATGTAAAACAGAGTTCCCCGATGTAAAAATCAAAAGACAAATCATAGATCACTACTTAAAAGATATATGCAACATAACACAACAGTATGGAATCTACTCCATAGAATTCACTTCCCCAAACCATAATAATAGAACATATACTATTCAAACAGACGATCTTGATTTAGAATTTTCAAAAGTTTTTTCAGAATATATAAAAAGCATCCAATATCATAACTCACAAAGAGCAAACTCCATATTCACCAATGAAGTTTTTGCAATAATATATAGTTATATTTCGATATTAGAAAACGAAATCCCACTAACAAATGTCTCACCGACAGAAACATCTAAGTATTTGAAAGTACGACATGAAATTACACTACTCTCTAGTTATTTAAACATCATTAAAGAAAATTTTACGAAAGATGACGTTTCACAACATACCAAACACGATCTACAAAAAATTTTAGCATGGTTCATAATAGATTATTTCACACACAATATTGATTTAATTGCACAAGCAAGAAAAAATTTTAGACCCCAAAATTCGAACGATGATACCGCTATCACAGAACAATCAGATTATGTTTGGGACCCCGAATGGTCTCATCCCGCATTTATAAGCTTTCCACAATCAATCTCAAGTCAAGCAATAGGTACAATATCTTACATAAGAGATTATGTAAGAGTAATACCATTAACAATTGATGCAACACCATTAAACTATAATACATTTTTACCCGATACACAAAATAATAGTTTAAACTCGACAGTCATACACAACGAAAACCTCAATGGAACTAGGAATCTTACTCAACAAGATATCCAGACACCATCACACTTCATAAATGAAGAAATTGTACACACAACAACTACACAACAAAGTATTTCACCAATACGCCCAAATTTAACAACACCAAGAAATACAAATCCTTCACAAACGCAGGTAACCTTACAATCAACCGTTAAACCTTCGGTTGCTCCAAAATATTCCCATATGGATTACCAAACATACAGACCCATGACAATACCATCAAAAACACGCAAAACATTCACTAAAAACAACTTTGCAGACCATAATTATAATTATACACATCCATCAAAAACAAATTATCAACCACAAAGGAATTTTAATCAATATACAAAACCTCGAAACTGGGATAACCCAACGGCCCAATATAATTCCAAAAATTTTCAACCAAATCCTCCACAGGATCGCAGTGAAAATTACCCATTTTTTCAACAGAATAAAAATAAAAAACAAACATCTTATCAAATGGATTATTTATCCTCAGATGACGATTTCTTACAACCAGATATATTTGCACCAAATACTCAAGAATATCGTAGACAAGGAATACAGAGAACACGTACAAATCATAGAAATTTTTCTCCACAATCAATAGATGCACAACATCAACAACCAATTCAACAACAAAATCCAATTAATACACAATCTTTTCAACCAATTCAACAACAAAATCCAATGACTGCACACTCGTATCAAGCATCACAAATGCAAAATGAAATACCACTCCCATATTATCTTCAACAACATGAAATAACAAGAAACCAACTTTCAAATTTTTCTCAAATGCCAAATGCAGCAGAATCATTACAAATGACAATGAATCCATACCTAATGGGTGGATCATCAATAACATCAAACAAACCTTTAATGGTTTTCACAGGAACAGACCCTGAATACTCTGTAGAAGATTATTTAAATGCAGTAACAGCAAATTTGATTTTAAATATAGGACCTGAACCAATTAATACGCCACTACATCAAAATTGGATACATCGACGCACAGCGTTAATACAAACAACCTTAGATGGCGCAGCCCAAAAATGGTTTTCAGTACTACCTCTAGAAATAAAATCAAACTGGAAAAGATTTACACAAGAATTTTCAAAAATGTTTGACTCTGAAAGAAACAAACAACAACAAAGAGTTTTATGTAATGAAATTCGCAGATTACCAAACGAAACCATCAAGCAAATAGCAGTACGAATCGAAACACTAGTTCGAAAAGCATATTCACTAAATACACATGACTATAAAAACACAAAGATGACAGAAATCTTAATGATGACCTTAACACCACAATTAAGGAAAATAGCAATAAAAAAGAGAGCATCCCATCCTTCTTCAATTCGAGAACCCGACTTAGATTTTCGAAAACTAGTAGACAAATTAGAACAAGCAGAAATCACGATGAAACTAGAAGAAACGGAAAAT